TGCGCAGATTTTCGAGTCACGTTGAATCCATGGGTTGTGGAGGTCAAATATCCGTTGCCAAGAATTGAAGAAATACTAGCCAATTTAAAGGGAAGCGTTTATTTTTCAAAAGTAGATTTCTCTAATTCATATCTGCAATTACGTGTAATACCAGATGTAAAGAAATTATTAACTATTACTACGCCTAAGGGATTGTTCGGATTTTTTAGATTACCATTCGGACTTAGTGTCTCAGCTCCTATTTTTCAGCGTACAATGGCTGCTGTTTTCCAGGGAATTGAGGGAGTTTTATACTATATGGATGATGTATTGGTGACGGGAAGAACTCCCGAACAACATGAACGGAGATTAGAAGAAGTGTTTCGAAGAATCAAGGAGAAAGGGTTGAGAGCCAGCGCGGAGTTGGGGGTTACTGAAGTGACATATTTGGGGTATAAGATTACAGGAAAGGAGATGCGGCCTTTGGAACAGAAATATAACGGGAATTAATAATATGGTAAGACCTAATAATAAAGCAGAGGTACAGGCATTTCTTGAGATGGTAAATTATTATCATCGGTTCGTGCAGTGGCGTAGCTAGGAATTTTCCTTAGAGGGGGTCCACATATAAAAGCCTGGGGGGCTTCGCCCCCCAGACCCCCCTTTAAAGGGTCTTCGGCCTTGTTGCCCGGCCTTCGGCCGGGTTTATCTTAAAAATCATATCGGTTTTTCTTATAATATAAAAGTCCTAGAATTATTAATTATTTTAATTAGTGTTGTTAAACGGCTCGACTTGAGCTGATTTTTATAAACAGCTAACTCAATATTTTAGCCAAAAAATATTGTTCAAGCCTAGAGATTTCTCGAATAATATAAAACTTGTATCTCCATGAGCAAAATTTTCTGGCTAATATATTGAGTTAGCCATATCGGCTAAAATTGAGCCATTAACCACTAATTTTAATTAAAATAACACATTGACATAATTTTAATTAAAATAACACATTGACACAATTTTATTGATATACGTTTCATTTTATTATACTTTTAGAAGTTATTTACAAATAAAAAGCGATTATTTAAAATATAAATATTATATTGATTTAATTATAAATATTATATTGCTTTAATTATAAATATTATATTGCTTTAATTATAAATATTATATTGCTTCAATTATAAATATTATATTGCCTTAATTATAAATATTATATTGCTTTAATTATAAATATTATATTGCTTTAATTATAAATATTATATTGCTTCAATTATAAATATTATATTGCCTTAATTATAAATATTAGTATTACACATATAAATTGCTTTAATTATAAATATTATATTGCCTTAATTATAAATGATATATTTTATAATTAGTAAACACATTAAAAATATAGATTAAAAAAGAAATGTTTTTTTTAAACTGTAAATTTAAGTCGATATCCTTCAAAGTGAAAAAATCAAAATTGTGTTGGCAATATTTTTTTACCAATATATGATAGATGTTTAAAATTAATATTGAGAAACCTAGGCTAATAATCATAGATGACATGTTAGCTTTGGAACCAAATTTTGATTATTATAAGTATAAAGTAATAGACTATATCACTTGTAGTAGGTGGTGGTTCTAAATGATCTAGTATAATTGGTTGTCTATTATCCTTTAGTTTTCTGGAATATGTGGGAATTGCTAAGATTTTAAATAAATATAATTTAAATATGACTAATACCTGACATGAGTGGAACTTCATTTCCATTTAAATTCTCCCTAGATTTTTTAGATATATCTAAAATTTTAATGTAAATATTAATAAGTAATTGATTACATTACATTTATTAGATAGTGATTTGTTGTGACTTAGTGTATTTTTTTGTTTGTTATCACTATTTTTTTTACCCCTTGGTGTGAATATTAATTGAGATATTCCTATAAAAATAAATTAAAATAAAACAACATATTAGATAACCTTTAAATTCTAAATTGATACAGCCTATAATATTTTGTTGACTACTATCATTCTTCTTCAATGTGATACTTGATATACCTAAAATTATGATATAAATATTTAAAGGTAATAGTTAACATTACTTTTACTAGGTAGAGATTTGAAGTGATCAAGTGTATTTAGCTTATTTTTATCATAATTTTTTATAGAGTATCTAGGTATTTCTAAAATTTAAATGAATACATTTAAATAAGGTAATATAAGTTCATAAAATACCTGAGGTGGGTGGTAAATTGTTGCTTATGGTATCAAGTTCATCATTAAAATTTTGATTTTCTATATTAATTAGTGATTCATTTAAATAAGGTCATTATAAAATACCTGATGTGGGTGGTAAATTGTTGCTTATGGTATCAAGTTCATCATTAAAATTTTGATTTTCTATATTAATTAGTGATTTGGTGTGTTCATTTTGTTGACTATTATCATTTTTATTAAATGTAATACTTGATATATCTAAATCTATAATAAAAAATATTTAAATCTTAATAGATTATATTACTTGTACTAGGTAGTGATTTTATATGGTCTTTGGGTATATAAATGAGTGTATCAAGATCATTTTCTTCCCTCCTACGTTTGGGTATATCTTATAAATGTCAAAATATTTTGGTTAGCCAAAATTATTTAAAATAATAAATTACCCAAAGTGGTTTGTACTGGCAATTTTAATTTAGTTAAAACTATGACTAGGTGTTTAATTTTAAATTCTAAAATAAAAATAGTTAGCTATTAATTTTAAATATTTTTTATATTAAATGTTATTTTGACCTGGTGTATTTACATCATCCTTATTATTTTCAATAGAGCCTATAATGCATAAGATATTAATTAGTACACTGGATTAAATATTTTTTAACCTCAAAAGCATGAGAAAGTAGATTATGCACTATTTTATTTCATATTATTATTTTCGAACCATATCTTCGATAAATTATAATAAATATTTTTTTAAATATGCATAAATATAATATATTATTATAATTTATTAGATTATTATCAATGACTTTAAAATAATATACAGAATAATTTTTATATATATAAAAGTAATAATATCCTTCCACAAACATCAAAACCAGAAAAATATAAATATTCATGGTATTTATTTGATATAAAGTCACTTTTGAGTCTTTTGAACGAATAATCTAAAAAAATTGCTCTGAGGGGGGGGGGGGGGGGGGGTAGATTATGCACTTTTTTATTTCATATTATTATTTTCGAACCATATCTTGGATAATTTATAATAAATATTTTTTTAAATATGCATAAATAATATATTATTATAATTTATTAGATTATTATCAATGACTTTAAAATAATATACAGAATAATTTTTATATATATAAAAGTAATAATATCCTTCCACAAACATCAAAACCAGAAAAATATAAATATTCATGGTATTTATTTGATATAAAGTCACTTTTGAATCTTTTGAACGAATAATCTAAAAAAAATTGCTCTGAGGGGGGGGGGGGGTAGATTATGCACTTTTTTATTTCATATTATTATTTTCGAACCATATCTTGGATAATTTATAATAAATATTTTTTTAAAAATGCATCAATAATATATTATTAAAATTAATAGATTATTATCAATACTTTAAAATAATATACAGAATAATTTATATACATATATTTAAATTAAAAGTAATAATATCCTTCCACATACATCAAAACCAGAAAAATATAAATATTCATGGTATTTATTTGATATAAAGTCACTTTTGAGTCTTTTAAACGAATATTTTAAATAAAAAAATTAATTGCTCTGGGGGGGGGGTCCAAACCCGAAACCCCCCCCCTACGCCACTGGGTTCGTGGAAGGCTTTGCGCAAATAGCAGCGCCCTTATATCAATTGTTAAAGAAAGGGGGAAAATTTGATTAGACAGATGAGAAGGAGGAGTCCTTCAAAGAATTGAAATGTAGAATAGGAAAAGAACAGTTGGTCTGTTTTAATAATGAATTGGAGGTCATATTAGCGGTGGATGCCTCTAACAAAGGGGTAGAAGAAGCGTTGTTGCATAAAGGCCTGTGTTATTTTTCTCAATAATATTTAGGGCAGCAGAGACCATGTATTCAGTGATTGAGCAAGAAGCATTGGCCGTTATTTTCGGACTAACTAAGTGTCGTGAATATTTAATTGTATGCAAATTTGTTATTTACACGGACCATAAGCCGCTTGTACATCTTTTCAAGAAGGATAATAAGGAATTAATGCTATCACCCCGGTACAAAGATGGTTATTGCTAATAGGTAGTTTTGACGTTCAATTAAAAAGGCGGGGAAGAGAGAATTATTTACCGAATATTCTTTCTAGATGTGGAGCGGGAGAGAATGTCAAAGATAGTGGGTCGAAAGGTATGAAGGAAGAGGATGAGAATGAATTGATTAGGACTATGGCAGGAATATCTGAAGGAGGACCGGTAACGTGAGAACAACTCAAAAAGGCTACAAAAAATCGCGAATTAACACATATCAAAGCATGCATAAAGGGGCGGATGACATGGCGAGATGAAGATTATAAATATATAGAAAAAGATTTGGCCATAGTAGATGAATGTGTGGTACGAGGGAATAGAGATATAGTGCCACTCAAATTAAGGGATGCTGTGTTGACAATGATCCATGCGGAGCATCAAGGAGTGGAGAAGATGAAACAATGGGCAGAGAATATGTATGGTGGCCGGGAATGAATAGAGATATAGAAAAAATCAGTAGGAGTTGTTTGATATGCAATACGTGGGCCAAAATGCCCCATAAGGACAGGAAGAGTGTTTGGCCAAAAGTGACTCAGTCGTGGGAGAGGATAAACGTTGACTTCTTTGACTTTGAAAATAAGATTTATATACTCGTGGTAGATGCTTACTCAAAGTGGGTGGAGTACGAGGAAGTAAGGGGCTAACGACGCAAGTGGTAGTAAAAATGTTGAAAAATCTATGGACCAGGTTTGGAGTAGCTCGAACGATAGTATCTGACAGAGGTCCAGCTTTCATCAGTGAACAGTTTAAGATGTTTTGCATAGAAACCGGGGTAAAGCATATTTTAGCGCCGCCATATCATCCCAGTTCAAATGGTCAGGCGGAGAAGATGGTGTCGATTGTCAAGAACTGGTTAAGAAAATCAAAGTATAGAGGTGTGGAAATTTGGATAGCGGTGGCATATTACAACAATAGTCGAAAGGGAGAAGAACAGTCTCCAGCGGAGAAGTTTTTAGGGCGGCGAACCAGGATGTTATTGGATTTATTAAAGCCGAACCCACATCAAAAGATGGAGAGAGAGATAGCGGAGAAACCTGAGTTTGTAGTAGGACAAATCGTGTGGGCAAGAATATATGGAGGTACAAGAAGGTGGGAATCTGGGGTGATCATGGAAAACATGGGACACAAATTAAATCGAGTGAAATTCATCGACGGAAGAGAGGGAGTACGGCATCGAGATCAATTGAAAAGGGGCGTGGAACCTGAGAGGTTATCGGGAGTATGAATAGGAGGATTGGAAACTGAGAGGTTACGATCGGGAGTATGAATAAGAGGATTGGAACCTGGGAGGTTACGATCGGGAGTATAAATAGGAGGATATACTTGATCGAAAATTCATGGTGGAAAAATATTCATCTTAGTACTGTGCTCAAAATATCCGAGGAAATTTAAAGGGGGTAGTTAAACCATAGGTATGCTAACTCATTACCGGGCTGATTGATAACAATAAGACATATAGTGGTTAAGGGGACAAAATGGTTAATGGAAGGTGCAAATGATTAAGACGTAATTTCTACAAGGAATCGACAATAGCGGCACACAAAGGGAGGAGACTCGATGAGCTAACCACCGTTTAAATTCGTCAAAATACCATAAAGGGACGAGAATTATGCCGGGCGCGAGGTGAAGTGTGAATTTAGGTTTTCAATTAGTGATCGTTTTTTATGTATAGTGTAGTCATTTTTATGATAAATTGCAAAGTCATTTTTTGTTTGTGAAAAATATTTTTTTGATTTTTTGCGCAGTCATTCTTTTAATATATTATTAAAAAGGATTTATATAAAAATTGCTATTTTTAGATTAATTATATTATTAATCAATTTATATTTATATTGCAGTAGATATAGATATGCATATATAGATAAAAAAAACTAAATAAAAGACAGTTGTCATTTTTCCAGAATTTCTTTATCATTTGTTTATTGTTGTCTTCCATTTTTTTAGAAATTTATTTTGGTTGCGTTAAAAAGAGGAAAAAAATATTTTTTTGTTCAAAAGAAATGAAGAAAAAAAAATTATTTCGTTAAAAAATAAAGTATCCCAAAATAAAAGGGAGCCACCGATTTCCATTTTTCTCACTACCGATCAGAGACCTGCAGAGGTACCATTTGTTACGGCCCGGCCCAGATTAAAAAATTCGGCGCCCGGATTCTTTTTTCAAAATTTTTTTACGGCCCGGCCCGGGTTTAAAAATTTTAGGCCCGGTCCGGCTCGGATATCTAAAAAAAAAATTCTTGGGGCCCGGCCCGGCCCGGCCCGGCCTGAATTTTAAAAAAAAAATTTTTTAGGCCCGGCTCGAAATTTTTTAAATTTATATTCGACCTGGTATATACAAAAAATTTATTATTTGGTATTTTATCAAATTTTTCGGCAAGTATTATCATTTAATAAGCAAGTATATTCGCTAATGTTGTTAAACGGATCGATTTGAGCCGATTATTAAAAACGGCTAACTCAATATTTTCGCCAGAAAAATATTGACTAAGCCTCGAAATTTCGATACTATATGTCTATACCTTTGCTCCTTCTATGAGCAAAATTTTCAGGCTTGCATAATATTTTTCTGGGTAAAAAATTGAGTTAGCCGTTTTTAAAAATCGGCTCAAAACGAGCCGTTTAATAACACTAATTTTATTTTTTTTATTCTAAACAGATATTATCTTACAAATTGATACTATAAAAAATTTGTGTAAATTTTAGAAAAAAAAATAAAAACGATATTTTAATTAATAAAAAATATAACATATATTATATATTATATAATAATGTATTTAATCCTTTGAGTATTTATTCCATAGCAGGAAAACTATAATTTTATTATGTAATAGATACTATGAGTATTAGCTAGTGTTAACTTTCACCAAACATTATATTAATCGTAACTATATAATCATTATAACCATATCTAATTGACGAATATAATAATTCATGTTGTATAAATTTTTTAAAAAAATACGGCCCGGCACGGGTTTTGTAAAAAAAATAATTTTCAGGCCCGGCCCGGGTATATTGGGCTTAGTGCCTGGCCTGCAGGTTTCTGCTTGGTATAAACATTATAAGTTCAAACTTAAAAATGCATTTGAAGGTAAAAAGATAAATTAATATATCATTATTTTAAATATTACTTCTTTCATAATATTTTGAAAAGCTTAATCATGGTATTAAAATATAAGTAGGGCTGTGTCGATATTAAATATCGAATCGGCACCGATATTTAGCGTTTTCTAAAAATATCGGTTCTGGCAGATACCTGTAATAAACCGATCCGATCTTTTTTTTATTATTTTATTTTATGTATATTTATTTTACATTATTATAATATTTTATAAATAATTTTTTTTAAACAATGCAAATGCACAACACCCTCTAAATTTTATTCTTAAGTTATTTTTATTAAAATAGAAAGGAAAACCCAAAATTTTAATTATTTTAAATCTTTTTAAATAATAACGCCTATTTTATTAATTATACTTTAAATAAAAGAATATTTTTAAATATGGTATCCAAATTATGGAAATATTTTACAAAAGACAAAGATAATTTTGCAAAATGCGTTATCTGCGGAATCATCTGAGTTTACCTTCAGTACGGCAGGGGATATAGATACTCCATATCATAGAAGCTTATTGCCAAAAAATCTAAAGGCTCTCGTATTTATTAAAAAAAATCGAATATATTATAATTTTATATATTAAATACAATTTTATAATTCATACCAACATAAAATGGATGTATTATCAAATATAAGTTTTTTAAATTAGTCTTAATTGTAGAAATAAAAAAAAATTAAATTAAATGCATAATTTGATATTTTGTATAATAAATATATTGATTTCTTAATTACATTTGGTTCAAAGGGGGATGGTGAAAAATCAATATAAATATCAGATCGGTATCAGTATCGGATCGGTTTTGAAGCAATATCGGATCGGATCGGTAAAAAATATGTGGATAGGCACAGCCCTAAATATAAGTAATTAATTTGTACTACAGTATTGTGTTGGGAACCAACATTAAAAACCCAAGATTATCAAAATATTGGTTTTGGTTCGAAGTATTATATTGAGTTTTTTATATCTTCTATTTCTTGTTTTAGTATTGCTATTAGTTTGACTATAATTGTTAATAAATTTAAAGAATAAAAAATAGTGATTTTATTAACTTTGTTTAAATAATATTTATATATGAAATAGTGGCGTAACCAGGATTTATCCAATATTATAGATTTTATTTATTATTAAAATACTATATATAACATCCCAATATTTAACCAGCTGTATTGACACTAAGCCCTCTTGTTTGTCTGATCAAAATTTTGAAATCAATTGTTTCTAAAAATAAATTGTTACATAAAGATGTTATCTTATAATATATTATTTTTGTATAATTTTATTTATATTATATTAAATATATGAATATTTTTTTTATAAAACGATATTATATATTCTTTTTGTATAGTTTTATTTTATTATGTATTGTCGGAAAAAAATAAATATTATTTTTTCATAAATTTAATTTTTTTAAGTAACGAGTAGCCCGTTACTTTTTTAAAAAGTCGGTAACGCGCGTTTCTTTTTTGAAAAGGTAACGAGTAACGGTAAAGCGTTTCTTTTTTGTAGTAACGTTTACAGCACTTTAATATATAGAAAGGCCAAAAATCTAGAATATAGTAAATCAAATTTCGGTAGCGGAATTCCTTTGCAAATTTAAAAAGGTAGTTTGTTAATTTTCTTTGTCCTCAAATTTATGACCAATTTGGTGCGCCTGCTCTCAGCACGAACCCGGAGCAACTGAGGTTCAAACTAGAATTTCAGAACCGAAGTTTAGACGCGGGGTTCGGGTGAATAATGTTATTTATATAAACAGCAAAATGCAATGGCATTTTCTAGAGTTAGTATTAAAGCTCTGCAAGCAACCCAGCTTAGGGTTAAAAATATTTTTTAATCGGGACCACCGAGGGATTTAAAATACCAAAATATAGGATTAAAATGAGTTATTATGCTAGTTATTTAAGCGATTATTTCCAACTATACCTCTTTTGCAAAGATACGAAAAATCACTGTTTTATAAAACTTTCCTTATTATGCTAATAACTCACGAATGGTTCATTCTGCTGATGTCTGGATAGAAGTTCAATTAAGACTCTAATAATGGCATAACTTTTGTCAACTTCACCTCAAGTCGTTCTGCAACTTCATGGACCTCATTAATAGTGTCTAATATTTAAGTTTTAAGGTACGTGTACCCAAATGCATAATGCGCACAAATTCAATATGAATTTGGGCTTTTTTTAATTATATTTATTATTAAATGTTCTTTAATTGCTATCTATAATCAAAATGTACCGTATTCCAGAAGATGGTTCTTATTTTAACCTTAGTGGTTCATCAGATGAGGAAATTCTTGATCAGCAGGTGTTGATAAGTACATATATAGGTAGTACCCTGTTAAAGATTGTGAACGGTTTGATAAAGGTGGTACGGAAAATTAAAATTACGTGTCCAGCAGCTATATAAGTTTACAATAAAAATATGGGAGGTGTAGATTTAATGAATTCATTGATTTCTTTATATCGAATTCACATAAGATCACGTAAATGGTATCATCGCATAGTATTCCATATACTTGATATGATGTTCATAAATTCTTGGTTATAGACGAGATTTTGTAGCATTAAAGTTACCGGTAAAAGAACAGATGCCATTATTAACATTAAAATTTCAATAGAGATACTCTGTAAATGTAGCAAAAATATGAACGCTAGCGTAAAAAAAACGAATATCAATTGACATTAAATATAAAGAAAAATCTTGCAAGGGGCCGACAAATCTTAGCACATTTACCAAAATATAGTAAAAAGGCGTGATGCCAAAACCCTGAAAAATTGGTTACGAAAGAGATTTGTACCAAATATGGTGTATCATTATGTTTTACTTCAAAAAACTATTTCATGAAAATTAATAAAAGTTTTTTTATATAAAAACAAATAACATCTTTATTTACTAAAATGTATTAATTTTATAAAAAAAAAAATAATTTAAAATTAACATACTATATCTATAATTAGACCTGTGGCCGACGAAACTATCGGCGGCCGGCGCAATTTTCAAAAATCCTATCGACAACCGGCGGCGTGCCGATTTTTAGCCGTCGTCAACAAAATCAGCGTAAATCGACGCAGTTATAAATTTTTAAAACATAAATTTTTTTAATTGCTTATTATTTTTTAAAAAACGAATATACACTACTCTACAGATATCTCGGCATATTTTTTAATATTTATTTAATAGAAAACTCATAAACCAAAAATAGATTTCATAATTTTATAATTATCATATACAAAAATTATTTTATTTCAATTTTTGGGATAATAATGATCCCCTAGAATTTAACGTCAATCCAGCGGTAGAGAAAACTCTTTAACTAGGTCCTATCGTTTTCCAAGAAAACTGTGGCGTTCTTGTTCTAAGTCACCTAACTTGGAATCATAATTTATATTTGTTGAATGTTTATTTGCCAATTTTGTCAAATAACTTAAATTTAATAATTCATCTTCTCATTAGCTATATTTAATACCTGATTATCATCATTCTCTATAAGTTTAAGATGTTTTATTATAAATTCTGAAGCTGAACAATTTTGCTCTATTAAATACTTTTACACAATTGTCAATTTTTGAAATCTTGGATCTAAAAGAGAAACCAATACCTATATATTTTAAATATAAAATAAAAGAATATACTTATATATTATTACTTGTTCACACCGAAAATCGTAACGCAAGTTTTTTAGCATATTTTTCTTCAGTGAAATGATTTCAGAACTATCACTACCATTTACTATTAAATTTGTTTCAATTTCACTTCTAAAAAGTAACGCCAAGTTTAAAATAGGCCCTTTTGTACTGAAAGAAATTCGACAGTTTCTTTAAATTTTGAAAGAAATCTAATCGTTCTTCTACCAGCTCAGATTCATAATTTGATAATTTGAGAAAGTGCTTCCCAATTCTTTTCAAAACATTATTAATTAAATTTTTATTTAATCCAGATTTGCTTTCTAGCATAATTAATATACTATGCCAACGTGTTGGGATATTTAATTTTAAGGTTTTCATATGCGTAAAATTATTGTTATTATTATCATTGGAATTGCCAATTTGAAAACGGGTATCCGGGTATGGATCAATGCTGTCAAGATCTAACATGTCTGACGTTAAATCTATTGTACTTAGACATTTTTTTTGATCTTCCTCGAATTCAAATTCAACCTCTGCAGTTTTATATCTTAGATCAGTAATAATTTCTCTAATTCTTTTGTAAAAAAATTTATAGACTATGGATTTTTTATTATCCAGCAGTGGCGTAGCCAGGATTGATCCATGGGGGGGGGGGGGGGTTTGTGTATTATACCCAGGCCAGCATAAATATTAAAAAATATTAGAATTAAAATTTTTGCCAAATTTATAATTAATAAGCGACTGAAAGCATTATTTTGAAAATGTTATCAATGTTTAGTAAATTGTATATTAATTCAATCTATTCGATGTAAAAAAAATTTGCCTCCCCCCAAACCTTCCAATTTTATGATCAACTCAATATATCTTATTCTATGTTAAAAATAATTATTTTAATTAAATTTTTGCATATAACAATATTTTGCAGAGATTTTATTTATTATTAACTTTATTTATTTAACTATGTATTTATTTTAATAATATATAAAAAAATAAATTTCAAAATATATAAATTTTATACAGATTATTATATTAAAAATTGAATGTAAATAACTATATTTTAAAAAAATAAAATTGCAATAAAATATGTAATTCTTGCTAAAAAAATACAATTTAACAATTTTATTTAGTATAAACCCTTTATTTAACTATGTGTTTATTTTATATAGAAAAAATAAATTTCAAAATTAGAAATTTTATACAGATTACTATTTTAAAAATTGATTGTAAATATCTATATTTTAAAAAAATAAAATTACAATAATATATAAGTAATTCTTGTATGCAATTTAAAAAAATATAATTTAACAGTTATATTTAATACAAATGAGTATATTATATAAATAATTCTTATTGTAGGTGCAATACTATTAATAAATATAGTATAAAAATATCATGACTAAAAATTCATTATAATTAAGTTTTACATATAAAAATTTTATGACTAAGAAAATATTACAATTATATGATTTGAATTTATAAAGAGAGGTCTACTTTTCTCTGAGATTTGGCTAATTCATCTAGAATCAAATTTTTATCTAGAATAATCTCCTTATAAATATTTAATAGGGCTAATCCATTTAAACGGTTTTCACCGGTGCTATTTCTTAAATAGGTTTTTAACCTTTTCAAAGTTGAAAAAGACCTTTCATTAGTGCAGGTACTAATCGGTAAAGTAGCTAAAATAAAAAACAATGTTTTGATATTGGGCAGGGAATCTAAAGTGCAATTACACATGGAAAGGGCCTGCAAAGCATTTTTTGGTCTCAAAGAGTACTCTATTCTGCCAAGATTTTTATACCAAAATTCGACATCACAAAGTAACTTATCATACGACCCTAATAAATCATCAGAATAAAACTCTGAGATGTTCTTAATATCCTCTCGCGTTTCAAGTGTAATCAACAATTCAGACTCAACCGGCAAAAGAAAATAAAAGCTTTTTAAAATAAAATTGTGACTTATAAATCTTTCCTTTAATTGAAATAAAAATGTATCAATAAGTGGAATAAAAATGTTAATTTTATAAAAATCCTCAATCGTAGATGCATCAATATTTGAGCGATTGGATTGTCTAGAAACTACTCTAGGTTTAAAAATTTCAATCCCAAACATATTAGCGATCTCCTTTACTTTCTCATATATTTCGTGAAATTTTTCATCCACATTATCTCTGATATTTGTTAATATTTCAACAATATCCTTTGCCCTATTCATAACCTCCCTTAAATCCAAATCAATTTTTTGTAACATTTTGCTAAAATCATATGTATAATTAAATAAAAAATAAACACATTGAATTGAAATTAAAAATTGAGGCTTCGTAATAGCCTGTAAAAGATTTTCCGCATCTGCGGAATCTTTTTCTTTGCGTAATATGTATGATTCCAGTGCCGCAAAAATAACCTCATATAACTCGATGAAAACCTTCACCGATTGTTGTCTTTCAATGAATCTTGTGGGACAAAATCTTTTGAATTTTTTTTTTGAATTTTTTGAATCAATTTCATCGAACGTTTGGGTAAAAATCTCCCTCTTCTTGGGTGGGGTAAAGAAGTCACAAACCGACGATATTGTTTCTAAATTTTGAAAAATATATAAAAATTATATAAAGATATCTATAATACATAATAAAATCTAATAAATTTCAATTAAATCAAAATCTTTTTACGTAAACTGTTCCGGATGTCTCTAATTTCACATGCCTCAGTTATCATCAAATTCAGGCAATGTGAACTGCAGTGAACATAAAGAGCTGTGCTATAAAGCTCTCTAATTCTTGACTGGACCCCTTTAACATGGCCACTCATCGAGGGAGCTCCATCGTACCCTTGGCCTCTCAGTAGATTTAAATTTAAATCCAGGTTTTGAAGTGATTTAATAATTTGATTAGCAATCGTTTCTGACTTAGTGTCAGGTAATTCAATAAATTGAACAAATAGTTCCTTCATTTTATAATTACCTGATTCCATATCAATAAACCTTATTGCTATGGATAGTTGTTCAATATTACCAATATCGGAAGTTTCATCCGCCAAAACACTAAAAAATGGTGATGCTTTGACTTTTGAAGAAACTTCCTTTAATATAAACTGATTGCATATTGATATTATTTCATTTTGAATAGTGGGACTTAGGTAAGTAGCATTTTTAGAGGAGCTTTCAAAAAGCTTTAGGTAGTTGTCATTATTATTACATAAAAATTTCAATAATTCCTTGAAATTTCCTTCATTGTGAGAAGGGGATGTAAGTGTTAGGGGGTCAGGAGATATCCTATGAGCTCTTAACGCCAAGCCCTGCCTCCCTAACCAAATGATAGTATCAATAATTATAATTATTCTTGATCGATTTTTTGTAACAATATCAAAAATTTTTTTATTCAATACATTGGATATTGATATCTTTTGATTCATTGAGATTTCTTTTAAAGAATCCATTATCTCACAGGAATTAAGATGATATTTATTTTTTTGATGATAATTAAAATTTTCGTGCGCATCTTTCCATCTTGTGTACACTTGACTTACCAATGTTTTGAGTTTTTGTAACCCATTTCCAGCATATCTTGGGGAAAATATGACGCAAACTTTACAAAATGCGCCCTTTTCATCGGCTGAGTAAGCAAGCCACTTATATTTGTTAAGCCAGGATGCTTGAAAGGTTAAATTTCTTTTGCCCAAGGGCAATGGAAATTTATAACATTTGTCAGGTATCCAAATATTTTCAACAGCTAACAATTTTTCATTATCATTTTTAAAATGAAAATTTAAGTAAAGTGAAACATCTTTTTGAGAACGGTGTGGTGTTTCTATATTTTTTTTTAGATTTTAAATGATATATTTCAATATGAATTTCAATGTTAAGAGCTGAGCAGCACAAGAAAAAAATCTGGATTATAAAAAATGTATCTCAGATAGATATCAAAGTTTCTTAATAAAAATTTAAAGACAGATACAAGAAGAAGGAAATTACTATAGAATATCATTACCAGTTTTAATTAATATTTTTATATTTGTAGGATGATTTACACTCATGGAAGTGAAGAAGGTAGTAATATTTAAATTATGAAAATAAGTTCCTAAATATTATAAGCTGCCCAAGATTGTATATACAAAAGATTTTAAGAAAATAATTATGTTCTTCACAAATAAATAATAAAAACTGTATTTTATAAACTATTCTAGTTTAATTGGTAATGATAAATCATCTGTATCTAAGATTCATTTTTTCATAACAAATCTGTATCTAGATTATTTTTCTGGAGGGCCTGCCCAACTCTGTTTGTATTGTAGATACAAGTTTTCAATACTGCTTAACTCTGTTTGACTTATAATGTACTACCTTTTGCAAAATAACACAAAAAAATGACTAACTTTAAAATTATAACTAAATATCGTGCATTGCAAAATTTTAATAACTCAAAATGAAAATAGTATAATTTACAAATAAAAAAAATGGAATTAAAATAAATACTATACCATCATTTGATGATTTTCCAGATGATTTTGTAGCTAACTCATCATTGGTTTTCCCATGGAGTGGTAATGGTATGTCTGGTCTTTCTAATTGCAAGATTTAAATAAAAGATATTATAAATAATACAATTACCTTCGTCATCTGAGGATACAACGAAAACCAACTCAACTGATGGCTGATTTTTACTAGCAAGAGCAACATCTATATCTATATATATTTCTAATTCAAATTACACAACTTAAATTTTTATATACCTTTTTCTTTTTGTTGTTGACGAAAAAACTTACAGATATCCATATTTAAAAATTATAAAAAATTAAAATTTACAAACTATCTATATAGTTTAAAAATATATATTTAATAATTAAATTTATAAATATCTAATTTAACTATGCCAAGCCAGAAAATATTTACAAAATATCTTTATTGTTATTTAATAAATTTAACTATGCCAGAAATTATTTACATACAATATATCTTTATTCTTTTATTGTTATTTAATATTTTAGTTCATATAATTTATATATATTTTTAAACGATGTGATCATTTAAAATTAAAACTCCTTTTTTTATAAATATATTTCATTGTGATATTCATATTCATATTGTATTATATATAATATATTATCTTATTTCTCTAAATTGAAACCGTTTTTTAAATATAATTATTCGCAATAAAAAAATAATAATTTTTTATTTTATAAATTTCATGGGGGGGGGGGGGGGGGGGGGGTTCGACCCCAAACCCCCCCCTTGTCTACGCCACTGTTATCCAGAGTTAGGATACTAAAATTATTTATAGAATTATTAAATGTAGATACATCCATTTTAAAAATATGTAAAATTATGCTAACTTTTGGAATTTTAGATTTTTGATTGATTGAATTCTATAATGACGTCAATATAATTATGATTTTAAAATAGTAGAAAATAAAAATTCATCAAAATCCTGATTGGCATTAAAAAAATTACAACAGTGATGTTTACCAATTATTAGAATAAAAAGATATGAAATATGAAAGAAATTTCTGCGCCGGCCCGCCAGCGTGATTTTCTAAAACGTGGTGCACAGGTCTATCTATAATCAATATAAAAATATATAATTAAAAGAAGGGGAATTAAAAAAAAATAATTTAAAAAATTAGTTTGAAATTGAAAAAATATAATACTTTTTACACGCATTGGATATTTAAATACCATACACTGAAATTTTTTTTATGGTTTAAATTTTTATTTAGTTTATTAAGGGCTTTAAAGACAAAAATAAGTTTTTTTTAAAAAAAATTATAATATTTTTTTATTTTCAAGTGTATAATTTTCTAAAATTGAACGAAAGTAAAAAAACCTCGTTAACGTTCTAAGTTCGTCATAAATAAAAGACGTCGTTCATAATTTTTTTCAAAAAAACAAACTTCGTTCATGAACAGTTCGTAAACAAATTTTTCTATTTGTTTGGAAAGATAATTTTTAATTTTACCTAAATTTCCCTATACCCATGTAATATAATAATGCTGTCTTCTTATTAGACTTAATTTTTAAATGTTGCAGAAGAAATCAAAATTTTCAATATATAATTCGATTTCAATCTATTGTTCGTAGGTTTTGTACTTTGCCATATAAAATAGATTTAAATATAAATTTAATTGCCTTTATAATAAAAATAAAGATAATGCGTATGAAAGAGAACGCTTCAAAATATGTCAATCTATATGGGCCCATTCCACGTCAAATCGATCACGATTTGGCCGACCCTTTTAAAATTGTTAAAAATTTCTGGAATTATTTAGATAGGTAAAAGAGTGAGAAAGCCGTTTATTTTAGCTCGCTAGCACACCTGGTTCTAGAGATATAAGGGCTCAAAGGTACAAAAAAGAGCCACTTTGGAATCTGTACAATTTTTAAAATGCTTATATCTCAAAATGTATTTATAGTAAAAAAAATTATAGTATCATTTTGTAGGTAAAGAAATTCTCTAATGGGCTAACAAAGAATAATAAATATTGGCGCCATTATAGGCTTTTAACATCCGGTTTACCTAAATTGCTTTACCTGTATTTTTAAGCAAAATAGTGAGTTTGTTTTCGATTTTTTTTTATTGCTTTTTATTTAGACACCTTTGCTAAATATATATACAATATAACCTTGGCGACGTTATCGACTCCAAAAATTGATAAAAAAAAATAGATGGCACTTTATGAAATTACTGATTATGGTTAAAATTTTGGTGCTAACTTATCAATAACCAGATATTTTCACTTTTTATACTAAAAAGTTTAGATTTTCTATTTAATATACTAATTAACTGAGGAGCAGAGGGGGCATATGCCCATTAGACACTTAATAATGTAATAAATTTCCAATAATAAATATATTTCATATAATTTTGTTTAATTTTTAAGGTATCTATAGACCGGCCGGCCGCCGACCTTTTTTGGTTACGCCGATAACGCCGCCGTTAAAAAAATTACGCCTTACTTTCTACCTTTTTATTCTAATAATTGGTCAACATCACTCTTGTAATTTTTTAATGTCAATCAGGATTTTGATGAATTTTTATTTTCTACTATTTTAAAATCTTAATTATATTGACGTCATTATAGAATTCAATCAATCAAAAATCTAAAATTCCAAAAGTTACGATAATTTTACATATTTTTAAAATGGATGCATCTACTTTAATAATTTAAATAATTTTAGAATCCTAACTCTGGATAATAAAAAATCCATAGAATTATTTGCAAAAGAATTAGAGAAATTATTACTGCTCTGAGATATAAAACTGTAGAGGTTGAATTTGATTTCGAGGGATATCAAAGAAAATGCCTAAGTACAATAAATTTAACATCAGACATGTTAGATCTTGACAGCATTGATCCATAACCGGATACCCGGTTTCAAATTGGCAATTCCAATGATAATAATAACAATAATTCCACGCATATGAAAACCTTAAAATTAAATATCCCAACACGTTGGCATAGTATATTAATTATGCTAGAAAGCATATCTGGATTAAATAAGAATTTAATTAATAATGTTTTGAAAAGAATTGGGAAGCACTTTCTCAAATTATCAAATTATGAATTTGATCTGGTAGAAGAACTATTAGCATTTCTTTCAAAATTTAAAGAAACTGTCGAATTTCTTTCAGTACTAAAAGGGCCTACTTTAAACTTGGCGTTACTTTTTAGAAGTGAAATTGAAACACATTTAATAGTAAATGATAGTGATAGTTCTGAAATTATTTCACTTAAGGAAAATATGCTAAAAAACTTCCGTTACGATTTCCGATTTGTAATCTGCAAGTAATATTATATAAGTATATTCTTTTATTATTTATTTAAAATTATCTAGATATTGGCTTCTCTTTTAGATCCAAGATTTTAAAAATTGACTCAAAGTATTTAATAGGCAAAATTGCTCAGCTTCAGAATTTATAATAAAACATCTTAAACTTATAGAGAATGATGATAATCATGTAGTAAATATAGCTAATGAGGATGAAGATGAATTATTAAATTCAAGTTATTTGACAAAATTGGCAAATAAACATTCAACAAACATAAATTATGATTCCAAGTTAGGTGACTTAAAACAAGAATGCCACAGTTTTCTTAGAAAACGACATTCACGAGATATGGACGTTCTAAATTTTTGGAGAGAAAAATCATTCTAGGCTCGCCAAAAAAATTCTTTGCATTCCAGCGACTAGCACACCTAGTGAAAGAGTTTTCATCGCTGGATTGACGTTAAATTCAAGGAGATCATCATTATGTCCCAAAAATTTAATAAAATAATTTTTATACATGATAATTAAATTACGAAATCGATTTTGGATATAATAAGTTTTCTATTAAATGAATATTAAAAAATATGCCGAGATATCTGTAGAATAGTGTATATTTATTTTTATTTTTTTAAAATTAATAAGCAATTAAAAAAATTTATAAATGCGCCGATTTACGCCGATTTTATTGACGCCAGCTGAAAATCGGCGCGCCGCCGACCGTCTATTAGATTTTTTAAAAATTGCGCCGGCCGCCGATATTTCGTCGGCGCACAGGTCTAGGTATCTACAATTTCATCGAATTTTTCATCATTTGATGAAAACAATGGTATAATTTTAGTCGTTAAAATTTTTTTTAATCTAGATATTTTTTTCTTCGAATATTTCTTTTCACATAAGCGTTTTCTTTTAATGAGAGATTCCCTATTTGATTGTAGGGATATATTAGTGTTATCAATAGCCTCTTGATTAATTATATGAAGGAGAGAATCAATATCTACATTGGCATTTGAAGTATAAGGAATGTTTGCTAATTTTTGTTTCCATGAAGAGCATATTAACATATCTAAATTGAATGGTAAATTTTTTTGGGTCATCCAGGGTAGAATCTTTCTTAGTAGATTAAATGGGTTGCAACATTTTAATATTTAGTACGTCCATCTGTGATATAGAACAAAATTTTAATTGATCTACACCTAGAATACATGTTTTTGCACTCTCCAAATCCAGATTGTTATTGGTAGACAGACGATAAAATTAATCTGAACGGAGGGGTTAAAATTATTTCGCAGAAAGAGAGATCGTTTTAAACAATTTATTTTGTAAAATGTAATCGAATATATGCCTAATAAAATATTTCAGCTACTATATATTATCGAGCTAATAAGTCAATCGCTCGCTATAGTAGCAAAGTAGAGATCTAAAAAATGTAAAACATTTTAAGGATAGTGGGGGGGGGGGTTGCCATGTGCCCCCCTATCAGCGGGAGACTCCCGCAATTGCTACAGCTCTGTTCATCTCTATTGTTAAAAATTGATAATAAATTTTATGGCGCTATTGCTAAAAATATTATTTTAAAATGTTCAAATAACACTCTAATTAATACATTTTTAAATGAAGCAATTTTTATTAAGACAATTTTATAATATTTACAATCAAAATTTGATTTTAATAATTCTATTTACAAATGTATAAATATTATGACCTTGGAACAGAAACCATCAATTGATGGTTTTTATAATTTAATAAATATATTAAAAATACCGAAAGACTGATGTCTTGTTTGAGGAAATTGTAATTCTCTCTATTTTTTATGATTCGCCAAAATACTTAGTTAGATGGTCTAAAAGCAGAGGTGAAATGGGTAGAATTTTTTCGTAATAACGATAAATCACCATGCTTGGAAAAAATATGTTAGTATGTCTTCTTTTTACCTCATTCTAATGCCTCATCCTAGCGCATTTTTAGGCTGATGAGGACTGCCTGGAAAAATGAGAGAAATCGGATTGCTTTTAACAACATTAGAGGCCGAGCTAATGGTTAAACAAATATATAATATGTCATGCCAGGAATTTTATAAATATCTCAATAACGACGGTAAACATTTAGTTCTATTATTTAAATCTCAAATAAAATATAATTAAGTTTTAGCAATGGCGCCATAAAATTTATTGTCAATTTTTAACTGTAAAGATGAACACATCTGTAGCATAATTTTGTGAATCTTTGTTAAGATTCTTCTGATTGCAACTACACATTACATTAACAGCATGTAGTAGATTTCCTACATGTAAAATCATTCCTAAATATACCTAAGCCATTCATTATTGAAAAAATTTTTTAAAATGTTAGGACAGCTTTTATAATCTTTATTTAAGAAATATTTTTTAAAAGGTTTATAAAATTTTAAAATTCTATCAATGGCGAGTATTAGGAACATATCGCAACCAACATTGTGCTGACTCAATTCTGTAAATACACTGTTTTTACAAATTCACTGAGGCATTATCAGATCAGAAAGCTGCCATGCAATTTATTGATAATCTCGAATCTGCTATATTTACCATTATATGGTTAGCTATGTCTTTGGATTTTTCACTATTTGAGGGGAAAAAAATTAATAGTTTTATTGAAACGACCTTAATTTTGTTAAAATAGCAGAGGATCAAGGGAAATATTTCCCTTATTAGATGCATCAGTTAGAATTGCATATGTATGCCCAGACCTCCTGGATTTAGGTCTTAAAACATTGATGATAGCCTTGCTCATTTTTGTTCTACAAGTATAGTTTTCATTTATATTAGAGTCGTTAAATATTATGGGAAAAAGATTCTACCAACATTGTGATGATAAGTATCTCTGTGAATGTTGCACTACAAGATTATTTAAACTTATCGCAACTGTAGTTACATCTGTATCATTTCTTATTTTGGAGTACCTTATTATGTATTTAAACGTGATAATTAAGCGCCTATCCCTATTATGTTATATACACGGTAGATTTCCAATTGCGATCATTTTGCGGTACATTCATATAAAATATATTTTAATTGTAAAATCGTTTTTTTAATAAAATTTTATCTTGTTTACATTCTTTTATATTTAATAAAGATCGTTGGTTTTTTTTATAAATTAATATATTCTAATAAATCAAGACGTATTTTATTTTGAAAAATAGTTACCAACTTTGTATTTAAATATGCAAAAAAATTTGTTTTAGCAATTTTTATATTTCTACCGCAATTTTCATATTTCTCCCGCAATTTGAAAATTTTGACCTGGTAACCCTGTTGGGGGGGGGGCAGAACTGAAAATTTTTATCACAATTCTCGTATCAATATTTTCATTTTCCTTAAGAATAATATTTTTCAACCATTAGCGCCATCTACTTTTTTCTTCAATTTTTGGTAAAAATGTATTTATTTCGGAAAAGTCGATAGCGTCGCCAAGGTTTTGACATCGTATATATATTTATAAAAAGTGTCTAAATAAAAAGCAAAAAAAAATTCGTAAACAAACTTACTATTTTGCTTAAAAATACAGGAAAAGCAATTTAGGTAAACCCGATGTTAAAAGCCTATAATGGCGCCAATATTTATTATTCTTTGTTAGCCCATTTCTTTACCTACAAAATGATATATTATAATTTTTTTACTATAAATAGTTTTTGAGATATAAGCATTTTAAAAAAATTTTACAGATTCCAAAGTGGCTTTTTTTGTACCTTTGAGCCCCTATATCTCGAGAACCAGGTGTGCTAGCGAGCTAAAATAAACGGCTTTCTCATTCTTTTACCTATCTAAATAATTCCAGAAATTTTTAACAATTTTAAAAGGGGTTGACCAAAAAAGTGCCTTTTTTGATCGATTTTGTTACAATATTACAAACATATTTTATATTTTCACCCTTTTGCTTTAAAAAAGTTTAAAATAACTATTATAAAATAGTCACTTTTCTATGATTCATCTTAACTGAAATCATAATTTAACATGTTTACAATTTTCTTTACCCATTTACGCCAAAAAATAACGATTATGACAATTGTCACTCTATTAATAAGATTAAATCGGAGTCAGCCTAAGAATTAAATGAAGCTTTAATTAACTTTCCCACCAAATATCTAAATCTTATTTATTATGGTTGACCCTAGTCGGCTTTTGATAGAAAAAATGATCTAAATATTGAATTGGTGAAAAAAAGGATCCGTTTTTAAAAAACGACAAATTTTTTGAGGCGGGTAGCAAAAACGACCGAACTTTGCATTTGAGTCGAAAAAAAGACCGGGAATTTGGGTCGAGGTCATATTTTTGGCTTCAACTCGGTTCGAAAAAAATGATCTAAAATTTGAGTTAGCTCTTTTCGAGCCGACTTGCCTTAGCCTATTAACAACACTTAAAACTATTGTGTCAATTTTTCAAAAGAAATACTCATCCAGTAGTAGCAAATATTTTCTAAATATGTATTTTTAGTACTATACACAAAAGAATCACTGGCATTTTGATATAAGATTGAAAGATAAGTTTTTCAGTAGGGAGTACTCGTTAAAGATTTTAAAATATTAAATAATACACTCATTTCTAATTTTTTCATATTTATTATAGTTGTAAAAACACTATGATATTGCAAAATGACGCTTTTTTAAAAAAAAGACTATTTATTAATTGTAAGGCCACTATGAAAAAAAAGGTATTACTTGAGGTAACAACTTTCCTGGAAAAAGTTGTGCGATAATGAAATTTTACATCTCATTTAATATTAAATTTTTTGATTCAAAGTAATTTCTTATATCATTTTAAAAATATAAATTTTAGAAAAAATATATTTTAATTTTTAATCTTTCCCAATAAAGTATTTTTTTTTAAACATAGATTATTTTTAACATAAAAAATATGGATAGAATATTCAAAGGATGTTATAGTAAAAATTATCAAAATATGAATGTTTCAAAAATCTCTTCTATGATATTTGTCAGGGTCATAATAAGAAGTAACTACAACTCTATTCGCAAATTTTCTTCCAGCCAAAGCTTGTTGAGCCTTTAGGCACTCTGTTGGAGCACTGAATTCGACAAAAACCTTGAGATACACATTAATAAAAAAAATTTAATCACATTCCAAAATTTTAAATTGTTTTTTACTCATCTGCAATTTTCAAAAATTTTGTAAACAATAAAATTACAACATCTTGATATAGAAATTTTTTTTAATTCTAATCTATAATAGTTTTTATTTTCATTACTTTCATCTTGGCAAAATTAATAACTCAAGTTAATCTTTAATTATAAACCTTTCCAACACCAGGAACATCCACCCCAATTATAGGCCTGGGTATTTCTATACTCCTAACCTGTCCATATTTACCGCATTCTTCCTTTATATCTTCCAATATATCTATCATAAATAAAATAAGAAAATTAGAAGTTTGTAAATTATTTAGTGAAATCGATCAAGTTGGGGATCTCTTTTGTTGAATGAAACTTTGCATGATGATTATTATATGTTGTGAGGACCTATGCTTTAATTTTTTAAGTTCCAACTCAGTAGTACCAGAGATGATGGGTCAAAACTAAAAAAAGACGTTATTCCTAATTTGGAAGAAGTAATAAAAATTATAGACTTATATTTGATATCATTAGATACCAGAGATGACGGGTCAAAATTAAAAAAAGACGTTATTCCTAATTTTGAAGAAGTAATAAAAATTATAGACCTATATTTGATATCATTAGATAGCTCTTTAATTCTTTTCTTAACAATAATAAAAAAAATTTAAAAATTTCAGATAATTTTTTTATTTTTGGGAAAGGTAAAGATTGATTTTTAAATATGTACCTGAACTTAAAATTTCCTAAAAATTGATGTATTTTTTATTAAATCAATATAAATTTATATTGGAAAAATTAAGTAGAGATAAGCATTGTTGTTTTTGCTAATTTACTATCGGTAAAAAATGTCATTATAGATGGCGACGTTCTAATATTTTTTTAAATATAATTAAAAATCAACATTTACTTAATTTTGAAATTAAATATTATTTAGTCATTGATTTTCATTTTGTTGTGGTATTGTAAACTTCTGTGGATGTAAGCATGCAAGTATGCCCTGCCCTGTTAGGGGATTTACAATTCCTATAATGCCTAACAGGGATATATAATTTATCTTCATTAGGTAGAAAAATGAAGGACGGAGAGGATTCATATGGATACAGAAAACTAACTTGCACTTTTCAGCTATTGATTGTATTACAACAACTGCCCTCATTAAAAGTTATCGTAGAAACAAATTATACAGCTATTACTATCATTCATACTAAATTTCGTATCTTGATATGTGATATTTTCAACTTTACCTTTGTGAGTATTTGAATAAATTTATGTTGAAATTAAATTGTGTAAAAGATTTAGTCTAGGTCAGAGATATTGATATAAAAATTTATTCAAATGCTCATGAAGGTAAAGTGGAAATATTACTTATCAAGATACAAGATTTAGAATGATTAATAGCTATATAATTTATTTGTACAATAACTTTTGGTGAGTGGTGGTTGTAGATAAAAATGAAATGACCAAAGATGTGCAAGATAATTCACTCATATGGGTCCTTTTCCATCCTTCATTTTTATCCTTAATGGAGATAAATTATATAATTATCAATAATTAGGGCTGTGCCAATCCACATATTTTTCACCGGTCGGACCCAATCCGATATTTATACTGATTTTTTACCACGCCCCTATGAACCAAATGTAATTAAGAAATCAATATTTTTTATGCAAAAAATCATATTATGCATTTATTTTATATTTTTATTTCTATAATTTAGACTATAATTAAAAAATATATATATTATTTAGGATCAGAATTTTTCCAAATATTAGTTTAATTAAGAATGGCTGATATTGTTGGCTAACTTTTTTAAAATTTAATTTGTTTTTTCTAATATTTCTCGTTCTTTTTGTATTAGCTCTTAGAATGCCGTTTGATGGAATCGTTTTAAATGTTTACGGATATTGGTAGTATTAAATTCATTTCTCATTATTCCTCTCCGTGAAATTAGAATTCCGTAGATAACGCATTTTGCAAAATTATCTGTAAAATAATTCAGATACCATAGATTTCATTAAAAAAATTCTATTATTTAAAGTATAAATAATAAAATTGGCGTTGTTTAAAAAGATTTAAAATAAATAAAACTTCAAGTGTTCCTTTCTATTTTTATAAAAAAACTTTTAAAATACTATAAATCTATTTTAAAAAATTAATATAATTTAGGCAGTGTTGTGCATTTGCATTGTTTAAAAAAAAAATTATATAGAAAAAAATTATAATAATGTAAAATAAATATACATAACATAAAATAACAAAAAAAAGTAAAGTAAAAAGATCGGATCTTCGGTTTGTAAAGGTATCGGCCCGATCCTATTTCTGGAAAACGTTAAATATCGGCCCTATCAATAATATTATAGGAATTTTAAATCCCATAAAAGCAACAGGGCTTACTTACATACTTACATCTACAGACCTATTAACCACAACAAAATGGAAATCAATGCCTATATAATGACATTTTATAATTCATTAAAAATTCATTAAAAAAACATTTAATTATATATTTTTAAATAGTAATTTCGATTTTTTCAGAACATCTCTATAATGACTTTTTTATAGATAAATAATTAGAAAAAATTAAATAACCAAAAAAACAATGTTTATAAATATAATTTTTCAATATAAATTTATATTAATTTAATTAATAAACATCTATAACAATTTTTAAAAAAATCTATGCTCAAGTACATATTAAAAAATCAACCTTTACCATTTGAGAAAATGAAAAAACCTTTGAGAAATCTTTATTTTTATCAGCTTTCCCAAATAAAATAGCCCTTTTTAATCGATTTAACATGGAATGGCCCACATATAATGTCAATTTAACTCAATTATACCTAAGATGTGGTTTCACATCTTATACAAGCCTTAAGATTTTGTTAAGCATACCATTCTGTCATCTATAAGCAAAATCTGTGGACTTAAAACTTTTTAGCTAAAATATTGCCTTAACCATTTTTAAAAATCGAGACATTTAACAACACTTATGTAAAGCTTATAAAAAATTGTAGTGTGTTATGTCGGATTCTGACTTTTCAACTTACAAAACTTTATCTTGAGATGATTTGTCTTATCTTTACTCACAATTTTGATTGTAAATTCCCAAAAAACAAATGCTCCTATTAAAATTATTTTCACACAACCCTTCGATCCTTTCCCCTCACGATGAACAATTTCCTTTTATCTTTGTTAAATGATTTTACCTAGCAATTTTCATTTCAACTCTTCATATGCAAATATTATACTAATGAACTGAGATAAAGCTCATTCCAATTCTAACAGTAATATTAATCATATAACAAAAAAACCTTCATATTCTTCCTCGTCCCTTAATTCTTCTATCTCAACCATGTTCATTAGACAAAGGACTTCAGTTGGTAACCCTATGTTATCCACTAAACTGCTAAGCCCAGGGATTTGAATTGGGTTTTGGTAATTTATCTATAAATACAAATAATCTTAAATAATTTTGTAATAAATTGAATTCAAAGTCCATTTTATATGAAATATTAGTTATATCCACTGACAAACTTATTTAAAAAAAATATATTCTAAGATATCTACTATTTTTTTAATATCTAAATTATTGTGATAATGATATTGGATGCATAAAAAAATTATGTTTAATTAAAAACTACTGAGTTATAGAATTATTAAAGAAAAATGGCTAATTAAAAGTATTAAATACAGGAAATGTAGCAGTATTGTGAGGCTTGGCTCCTATGCTAGCCTTTTGTACTATCAATTTTTTCTCACCCAATTGCATTGCATTCAAACCAGCAATTGCCTAAAGTAAAACAAATGTGTATAAGTTATGAAAATATATGAGTTTTACTAAATAAGATATTTATTTTCTTTTTAGGCTACACTCAACCCCATTTACCACATGACTATTAAGAAATCACATAGATCTTTTTATCCTAACTTAGGATATATATTATTTTAGTGATAAATTTATTTTCTAACTAATGAGTAACATTTCCTTTAAAATCCTATCTTCAGCCTCATCGTGGGGGGAGGGGGGTGGCGACGTCTTTTGGCGGCTAATGGAGATCAAAAGGTACCCTGTGATCTGGGTTTAGAATAGGATCACCGTCAACTCGACGGGGTGTGAAAACCACTTAAAGGGATTGATGTCAGGTAGGGCATCCAATTGTAAAAACCTTGCTACAAAAATTTCCCGGTTACAACAAAGCATGGTCAGGGTACAGCCCAAAGTACCCTGTGGGCCTCCTCATCCACCATAGACAAAAAGAAGGATGGGAAACCAGGTGGAACCACGATTCATGAAAACGAAACTTGTGATGGTCATAAAAGACCTGATAATAAGTGGAGAAACCAGTTTACGGGGGATCGAGTAAGGGTTGCAACATGGAATGTTGGGAGTATAACGGGAAGAGTGGGAGAAGTGGTCGATGTATTGCATAGAAGGCATATAGATGTGTGCTGCATACAGGAGACCAAATGGAAAGGAAATGGCGCAAGAATGATTGGCAAGACTAGTGAAAAGTAATTCTTTTGGCAAGGAAGTAATAATGGTAAGGCTGGAGTTGGGGTATTGGTTGCAAAGAAATTGGTGGACAAAGTAGTCAAAGTGAGAAGGCTAGATAAACAGATAATGGTTATCAAGATGATTTTTGGTAGAAAACTATATAATATTATCTCATGTTCCTCAGGTTGGAAGAAGTGAAGAAGAGAAAGATACATTTTGGGACAGTCTATTGGGGGCGATATCGAGACTAGCAAATGAAGAGGGGATTATCCTGGCTGGTGATCTAAATTGACATGTGGGAGCGAGTATAGAGGGTTATGAAGAAGTACATGGAGGATTCCGTTACCGCATGAGAAATCTGGAAGGGTAGATGATTTTAGATTTTAGTGATGCTATGGATATGATTGTCTGTGATACATACAATGTTTTAGAAAGAATCAGAGAAGCTGATGACTTATAAATCGGGTAGTACCAAAAGTGCAGTGGATTATTTGTTAAGGAGATGTGATAGATGTATAGTAAAAAATGTGAAAGTAAACCGGGAGAGGAATGTATTTATCAGCATCGACTAGTTATAGGAGATCTCACTTTTAAAGACGCCAGAATCACTAAAAGAAAGTTTGTGCCAAGGCTGAAGGTTTGGAAATTGAAGAAGGAGAGTGCTAGACGTCAATTCAATATGACATTGGCGATAAGGGAGGCGGAGGTGGCACAAGCATCTGGGGTAAATGACAAGTGGGAAGCCATGAAGAAAGCCTGGGTGATGACAACTGAGGATGTGGATGGATAAAAGGCCGCCTAGACATAAGGAGACTTGGTGGTGGAACCCGGAGGTAGCGAAAGGTGTCAGTGGGAAAGGGAGGTGCTTCAAAGAATAGTATAATAGTAAAGAAAATAGTGATAAAGATATTTACAAGATGGCGAAATAAAATGCTAAGAAATTAATAGTGAAGACACAAGAATAAAAAGGCAGGAGTTTGCTAAAGAAATGGAATGCGCTGAGGAAATGGGAAATGTGGTCCGAATGGCAAAGCAGATGACAAAAAGAGGCAGGATGTGGTAGGTGTTAAATGTTTAAAAAATATGGAAGGAAAAATGTTGATTGATAGTAGTTGTATAGAACATCTGGAAGATCTACATGGAAAGACTTTTGAACATAGAAAATTAATGGGATAATGTTAGTTGGGCAAAGGTAGAAGGTCCAGGGTGCAAATTTGGCAAGGAGAAATAAAGAGATCAGTGAAGAAGATGAAAAAAGGGAAGGCATTGGGTTTAACGAGGATGGTATCAGAAATCTTTAAAGGTTCTGATGACTTAGGGATTGAATGATTAATGAATTTAGCCAATCAAATTGTCATAGAAGGAATATTCGAGAGAATTGGCGAAGAAGTATAATTATCCTAGTATACAAGGGGAAAGGTGATCCTTTAGATTGCGGATCTTATAGAGCTATCTCTTGGAACATGCAATGAAGGTATTTGAGAGGGTACGGTAAGGGAAGAAACTAAAATTAATGAAATGCAGTTTGGTTTTACATTGGGAAAGGCATGACATAAGCAATTTTTGTGGTGAGACAAATACAGGAGAAGTATCTCGTGAAGGAAAAGAAACTGTATAATGTGTTTGTTGATTTGGAGAAAGCATTTGACAGGGTGCCACACGAGGTTACTAGATGGGCAATTAGAAAATCAAGTGTGGAGGAATGGTTGGTTATGGCAGTGATGGCAATGTATGTGGGAGCACAAACAGCAGTACGGATAGATGATGGAGATAGTGAAAGCTTTGAAGTGAATGTAGGACTTCATCAAGGATAAGTGCTGAGTCCATTATTATTTATCTTAGTAGGATGTGGTCTAGAGAAATGAGTGAAGGACTTCCCTGGGAGCTATTATATGCAGATGACTTTGTATTAATGGCAAACAGTAAAGAAAAATTAAGGGATAAAAATGGAAGATGGCTATGGAAGCAATGGGCCTGAAATTGAATGTAGCAAAGACAAAGGTGATGATTAGTGGAGAAAATCTAAAGATAGAGGTATCCGGTAAGTGGTCTTGTAATGTACGTGGGAAAGGAGTTGCTAGAAATTCAATTCAATGCCCAGATGCCAGAAATGGGTATATAATAGATGTAGCGGGAAAAAGGGTTTGATGTTAGCAAGGATGACCTTTATTTGTAGAACGTGCATGAAAGGGATAAGAAAAATGGTGGTTTGGATATTGGCAATGAGTTAACCCTAGAAAAAGTGGATAAGTTTTGTTATTTGGTGATATGTTAAACATAGATGTTGGTGTAGATTCTGCCGTTGTTGCAATAAAAAAGTCTCCCTGAAGTTAAAGGGAAAAGTTTACGTAAGCTGTGAGGAGTTTTTTAGTTTATGGCGCCGAAACATGGGCAATGAAAGCGACTCACAAAGCCAAATTAGAAAGAACAGAGATGAGGATGATTAGATGTATGTGTGGGGCATCTCTGAAAGAGAGAGATAAACTAGTAAGGAATTGAAGCAAGATTAGGTAAATTGGAGTGGTAATGCAATGAAATAGACTAAGATGGTTTGGGTATGTGGAACGTATGATAAAAGATGACTGAGTAAAGAGATGCACCTTGATGGAAGTAGGAGGATCAAGACCTAGAGGAAGGGTCAAGATGATAAGGACAAATGTGATATGGGCGGATATGAGAAGCATAAATACAAATATTGATGCTCAGGACCGTCAAAAATAGAAAAGAAAAATCAGAGGGAAAACTGGCCTATCTGGGTAAACCTGGAAATCGCCACAAAACGGGGAAGAATAATAGGATGTCAAAACCTTGGCAACGCTATTGAATCTTCTAAAATATATATTTTTACCAAAAATTGGAAAAAAATTGATGACGCTTTATAAAATTACAGACAGTATATTTTCACATTTTGTACTAAAAAATATCGAATTTCTATTAAATATGCTAATTAGAGGGGCTGTGTGGGCAAATGCCCATTAGACTAATAATGTAAAAAAATTCCAATAATAAATATCTTTTGTATAATTTTTTTATTTTTCATCTTCATTAATAATATAGAAATAGATAGATAAACATATAGTTTTAATTGTCCAATACTTATGCAAAGTATGTTTGTCTGCTATGAAGGGCTACAACATCTAAAATTTTTGACTTATGTATCCATAATTTGTCAATTAAGGAGAGATATGTATAAGAATTTGAGGGTCTTTGAGGATGCAAAAAACTAACACATCTTTTTCACTTTTTTTCTAAAACATAGGCCATCCACCATTGATTGTCATAGATACATGTTATATATCAATTTATTTTTTCATATAGTAAATTTGCAAAAATAATTGAGTGAAATGTTATATTTAATATTTGCAATTCTGTTGAGTTTGAATTTTGCTTCAATTTTATATAGAAACAAAATCCCTCTTCCCATGCATCAATCTACTATATTCATGAAAAAAAAACCATTTCTGTTTTTAAACCTTCTGATTTTAATGGCATATGATACAAAATATTAAATTTCTTTACAATTTTTCTTATTCAATATGGTAATAATGTTAATAATCTAAATTTATTTATAATCGACAGCTTAAGGAAATTGATGATAAGGATATAGAATTTCATCAAATTTTTCAACATTTGATGAAGATAATATTATAATCTTAGTCGTTAAAACACTTGATATGTTTTTCTTTGGATATTTCTTTTCATATAGGCGTTTTCTTTTAATAGGAGATTCCCCGATTGATTGTAGGGAAATATTAATGTTATCAATAGCCTCTTGATTAATTATAAAACAATATCTACATTGTCATTTGAAGTATTAATTTTTGTCAGCATGAAGAGCATATTAGCATATTTAAATTGATTGGTAAATTTTTTGGGTTATCCAGGGTAGAATCTTTCTTATATTATTGCGATAACATGTCTTTATAAATGGGTTGGAACCTTTTAATATTTTAACATTTGGCAAATCCATCTGTGATATAGAATAAAATTTTAATTGATCTGCAACAAGAATGTTTTTGCACTCTCCAAATCCCAAATGTTATTGGTAGATAGACAATAAAATAAGCTGCAGAAGGGTTTAATTATTTAAGATTAATCTGAATGGACAAGTTAAAAATATTATAAAAAAAGAGAGATCGTTTTAAATAGCTTATTTTATAAAATAATATGCTTGTAAAATATAATCGATAACATGCCTAATAAAATATTCTTTTTTAATGCTGCAGTTATATATTATCGAGCTAATAAGTCATTCACTATAGTAGCAAAGTAGAGATCTAAAAAATGTAAAACTTTTTAAGGATGGTGGGGGGTGGGTGCAGAACTGGGAAATTTTATCACATTTCTTATAAAAACATTAATATTTTCATTTTCCATAATAATAATATTTTTCAACCATTAACGCCATCTATTTTTTTCCAATTTTTGGTAAAAATGTATATTTCGGAAAAGTTGATAGTGTTGCCAAGGTTTTGACATCATATATATGTATATTTATAAAAAGGTGACTAAATAAAAGGCTAAAAAAAATTCAAAACCAACTCACTTTTTTGCTTAAAAACACAGGTAAAGCAATATATGTAAACTGCAAGTTTAAGGCCACATTCAATGTGGGATCCGATCCGACATGATTTAACAGCTGATTGATTTTTAATATCTGTTTATAAGGTCAATTTTTTTAAAATAATATTAATTTTATCTTTAATTCTATTATGATAATAACCTAAGGAATATTGGTTTTAATAAAGAAAAATTGATTCTCATAAACCGATCAACTGTTAAATCGTGTCGGATCAGATCTCACTTTGAATACGACCTAAGGCTCAAATTGGCGCCAATTTTTATTGTATTTTTGATAGCCCTGAGATCTTTTTACCTACAATATGATATATTATATATTTTTTACTATAGTTTTTGAGATATAAGCATTTTAAAAATTTTGATTCCAACGTAGCTCTTTTTTGCACCTATGAGCTTTTATATATCAGAAACTAGGTGTGCTAGCTAGCTAAAATAGGCTTTCTCATATTTTTACTTATCTAAATAATTCCAATTTTTTTTAACAATTTTAAAAGTGGTCAGCCAAAAATGTGTCATTTTTGATCGATTTGACATGGAATGGCCCAGAAATATAAAATAGTTTAGGCAAAAAATAATATAAATTTTAATTTCCAAACAAAATATTATAGATTTTAGATAAAATTACTTGTTCAGAAGAAGTACTGTCTCCATATTCACAAAATGCATAACCTTTGGACAAACCAGATGTAGCATCTTTTACTAAATTAAATGCTTTTAGTGGACCAAAAGCTGTAAGCAAATCTCTAACCTATAAAAATTGATAAAAATAAAAATTTTAATTTATTTTATAAAAATTTAAATTATTGGAAATTTATTTTTTAAATGTGGGCTATTCATACATTGATAATATCCATTTAGATTTAGGAGGAATTAATATTAAAAAGATACCACCACATTTCTGTGATCTAAAAAATATTATAAGAAAATTTATATTTTTTTTATAATAGAATCAATCATATAAAATTAAGGATTAACCTTGTCTTTTAGTTTTTTAGAGCTCTATATAGTTTTAAAATTAATACCTAAAGTAGAACCTAAAGGAAAAAAATGAATTAATTTTTTTGATGACACCTAAAAAATAAAATAGATATGTTTGAGAGCCACTATATCTTTCTTTCCAAAGAAAAGCAACATTTTCCCATATTCCCCTATGCTATTGGGGAATGAAAAAAAAAATATAATATAATTTAGTTAAAAGTATGTAATAAAATTATATAAATAGAAACTTAGCAATTACATAAAGACTTTTGACTCACTAATTTATTATGAATTATATTCAAGCTTAGTAATTTTTAGTAACATTTAGCTTATTAGATTTAAAATCTAATAATAAATATGACATGACTAAATTAAACATTAATTATTTTTAAATGAATTTATAATATTTAACTTTATAACTTAATAATACTGATCAAATATATTGAATGTGTCAGAAAAAATTTATCATATTAAGATTTAAATGTACTTGTTCATCATTCAAGTAATTTGGTAAGCCACCAACAAATAATTTATTATCATCATGAATTATATCTATAAAATATATTTCTTTAATGTTTACAAAATTCTTATTTCAATTTCTTACGAGGCATGGTAGTAGGTGATAAATTTAAATCACCAGGCATGGGTTGATAATCTCTTGGTCTTCTAATTTTTAAAGTTTGCCCCATAAATGTAATTCCATCAAAAGCCATAGCTAATGTAGTTTCCTCAGAAGAACGAAACTATTGTTTTTAAATTAAATTCTTTAAAAAGTAAATAATTACCTCTAAAAATGCAAAATTTTTATCAAGATTAATTTGACAAGCCAACACTGATTTTCCACCTCCTTGATTTAAACCTGATATATCCATTTGTTCATTGAAAAATTCTACCATAGAATCCTACAATAAAAATAATAACCAAATTCAAAATAAATGCTACTTCTGTGGCCCCAAATGGAATACCTCCAATATATAAGCGTCTTGATTGTCGAGTAATTAATGAATTGGCAGTGGCAGCTGTATTTGATGTTGGTGGAGCTGGAAACAATGTTGATGGAATAGGTGCCGGTGAAATACTTGAGGGTACAATTGCTGCAAGATGGGCTGTTGGAATTATATTTAAAGGTATTTGACCTGCCACTATTTTAAAGAAATAATATAAAATTAAGGCAAATTATTTACATTGCATATTTTTGTACTGTAGAGGAGATATGTTTTCAAAACCTTGAGGTGGAACATCCCAATATTTATAAGGTTTTTTTATTTTTTCTTTCTTGGGACTTAAAATATTGAATATATGCTAAATTTATGTTTAAAAAAAAATTACCTTTTATGACGATTTGATCTTGATCGATCTCTTCTTCGATCTTTACTTCTTGAACGTCTTTTCTTTTTACCTATAGATTTTTTAGATATAATCTAATTCGTATAGGTATACTTTTTTCTAATCTACTATTATGGTCACCGTTTTCATAATAATCATAATCATATTCGGTAGGCATTTTGTTTTTGATTAAACGGCGTGATTACTAAATCAACATAATATAATACGACACCTCTCATCTATCAAATAACGGTCATATCTGTCAAGTATTTGTTAAGAATATATACAAAATAAAAGTTTAATGATTATAATTATGGTAAAGATATAAATTTGTATAATAGGTGATTTATAAAAATAAAAATTAGATTTTTGTCTTTAATGTGATAAAAGTGGAAAATTTTTTAAGATTAGTGATTGGGTGATATAAAAAAAATTAGATTTTTATTCTGAAATTATTATTTTATATATATACATTTGGAGCCTATAAAAGGATGGACATGAGTGTTTGTTCATTTTTAGTCCATTTTATTAATATTGATTTATGGTGAATATAATCCATTTTTATTAGTATAGAAAATTATGAATATAATCCATTTTTAATTAGTGTTTTTATATTATTAATGTGATTTATTATGAATGTAATTCATTTTTAATTAGTATTTAAATATTATTAAGGTGATCTATCGCGAATGATGTGTTAATGTTATTTCATTTTGAATTAACTCTACAATTTGATTTAATGTGGCATATTTTGAATGTGTGTTAATATTGGTCCAATTTGAATTAAACTTTTAAAGTATTTAATTTTAATTGATAAATATATGTGATAAATTTGAATTTTTTTAAAAAAATGTTATCATTGTTGAAATATATGATTTGATTATTTATTGCAAATGCTAAAGGTGATGCATTTAAATTTAAATAAATCTTATCATTATAATTAGTGCTAATGATAAGATGTTAAATATCTGATTTTTAAGAAGTCTTATATTTTAGTTTGATGTGTTTGTAATGATAAGACATCAATTGATTTTACACTATTTTCTTCTTACCATTATGTAACAATATTCCTTTCCCTATCTTATTTTTTTCTTTTTAAAATTTCATTTGAAAGTGAATATTCCTTTAATTATGTATATTTAGTGGCGTCGCTATGGGGGGGGGGGGGGCGCAGGGGCTCGAACCCCCTGAAAAATTTGAATAGCCTTTTGAATTTTTTTTTTATTGACACCTTACCTTACCTAAAAATAAATTTTAAATTGCTCCCTGAAAAATTTCTTTTATAATTCTATTGAGTAATATATAGATTTAATTTTATTATTTAAAAATTAATAAGACTATCTAAATTTTTATTAAATGAATACTATTTTAATTATTAGATTAGATTAATATATATAATTTATATTTTCTCTATGTCAGCTTGCGATCAAATTCTGTGTTAAAAATATATCAATATCACTCACTAAATATTAATTTAGCATTAGCAGTTGAATCATAATTGACTTTTATTATTTAAATTATTATATAACCCTAATTAAATAAATATACCCATTTATTAATTGAAAATTAACAAATCTAATTGTAATTAAGAGTTTAACATCACTAATCAACTATATTATTGATTTTTAAATTTAATTATCATGTCTCTTTCAATGACATATGTCATTGGTCTCTTTCTAAAATTATTTTCAAGATCAAAATCTAAATAAGTATAAGAGATTTATTTATAAAAAGTAAGTATACATATAGTTTATAATCCTCTATTATATATAACTAGTAGATAGCCTGTCAAAAATGACGGGAAATGAGAATTTTCTTCTTATATTTATGCTAGATGTTACCTGTTATTTGAAAATTATATCCAATTTAATTCTTTTTACCCCCTCCCCTCTTCAGGCCAGGTCCAATCTATTAAAACTAAGACTAAATACTAGTGTTGTTAAAAAGTCGAGTTCACCCGACTCCGACTCAGAGTCTGAAGTAATTAGTCGTGAACTCGAGTCGTGAACTCAAGTCGACTCAAGTCGTGAACTCAAGTCGACTCAGGTCGTGAACTCAAGCCGACTCAAGTCGTGAACTCCAGTCATGCACTCAAGTCGATTTGAGTCGAGAACATGAGTTTTCCATTTGAGTCGAGAACTTAAGTCGACTAGAGGACGAATATTTCGAATAGGTGTATAATATTATTTTTGTTACAATTAATTTGTGGTTTTCATGCAAAATTTTAAGCAAAATTTGAATTGATAAGAATTTAAAATCTTCTTTTTTAATTAATATTTTTGTGAATTATAAATCTTTTAGTTGAAATCTTTTTTAGGTTTATTTTTATCATTTTTGTAAAATTATCTATTTTTTTAGTATATTAAAAGAACTAGTTTAAATAATTTATAAATATTTGTATTAAATTTTTATGTTATTTATAATATTTTAATGTGACAATTTTCATGTTATTTTTTAACATTTTTGAAATTTTTGGTACTAAGGGTAAAAATATAATTTATATTATAAATATGTTAAACTATAAATTCAATGATGATGTTCCTTTGTAAAAATGACAAATTTCATAATCTGTATTTTAAAACATATTAATTTATTTTTGACGCTATAATGGGTTAAAATATAGATTGTAAATATGTTAAATTAATATTTTAGTTAATATTTCCCCTAGATAAGTGACAATTGTCATAATCGTTATTTTTAAAGTTTTTTGAAATTTTTTGACGCAAATAAGTAAAAATATAAGCTGTAAATAATACGTTTAATTTAAAATTCAGTGAATATGTACCATAGATATGTGACAATTGTCAAATCGTTATTTTTAAAATTTTGTGAAATTTTTTAAAGCAAATGGGTAAAATATATATTGTAAACATGTTAAATTAAAATTTCAGTGAAGATATACCATAGAAAAGAGACAATTGTCATAATCGTTATTTCTAAAGTTTTTTGAATTTTTTTGACGCAAATAGGTAAAAATATAGATTGTAAATATGTTAAATTAAAATTTCAGCGAAAATTTCCCCTAAATAAGTGACAATTGTCATATTCGTTATTTTTAAAGTTTTTTGAAATTTTTTGACGCAAATAAGTAAAAATATAGGCTGTAAATAATACGTTTAATTTAAAATTCAGTGAATATGTACCATAGATATGTGACAATTGTCAAAATCGTTATTTTTAAAATTTTGTGAAATTTTTTAAAGCAAATGGGTAAAATATATATTGTAAACATGTTAAATTAAAATTTCAGTGAAGATATACCATAGAAAAGAGACAATTGTCATAATCGTTATTTCTAAAGTTTTTTGAATTTTTTTGACGCAAATAGGTAAAAATATAGATTGTAAATATGTTAAATTAAAATTTCAGCGAAAATTTCCCCTAAATAAGTGACAATTGTCATATTCGTTATTTTTAAAGTTTTTTGAAATTTTTTGACGCAAATAAGTAAAAATATAGGCTGTAAATAATACGTTTAATTTAAAATTCAGTGAAGATGTACCATAGATATGTGACAATTGTCAAAATCGTTATTTTTAAAATTTTGTGAAATTTTTTAAAGCAAATGGGTAAAATATATATTGTAAACATGTTAAATTAAAATTTCAGTGAAGATATACCATAGAAAAGAGACAATTGTCATAATCGTTATTTCTAAAGTTTTTTGACGCAAATAGGTAAAAATATAGATTGTTAATATGTTAAATTAAAATTTCAGCGAAGATTTCCCCTAGATAAGTGACAATTGTCATAATCGTTATTTTTAAAGTTTTTTGAAATTTTTTGACGCAAATAAGTATAAATATAGGCTGTAAATACGTTTAATTTAAAATTCAGTGAAGATGTACCATAGATATGTGACAATTGTCATAATCGTTATTTTTAAAATTTTGTAAAATTTTTTAAAGCAAATGGGTAAAATATATATTGTAAACATGTTAAACTAAAATTTCAATGGAGATCTACCATAGATAAGTGACAATTATCATTTTTAATTTTTTATCTAATTCTCAACTCCCTTTTGAAATTATTTTAATATATATATTTTGAAATTATCACATTACTCATATCCATTATTTTTAAATTAGGTTAATATGATTTTGTTGGGAAACACTTAAACCTCTGGGCAGATGATAATAATATCATATATGTTAAATTTTTTGAGCCAACCGGAATGGAGTTGAAGTAGAAAGATGCATCAATATAAACATGATATTTTTGGGAACAAATTTAAAAATATTTTTTCTTTAATCTTTTAAATCAATTTTAGATCTTAGAAACTACTATTTGGATATATCTAGTAAAATACGCCCCCCTCTGATTATACTATTCATACAAAAAATCTATTTATATTGTTATCATCTAAATCAGTCATATATATGAATTTTTATTTATTAAAATTTCAATGTAAACAATAACTTTATAATGAAATAGGTTATATAAGTAATGATTTAAAATATCACATTATTTAACAATGTACGATTAAGCTTTATAATTAAAATATCATCAAGTATATCTTTGTCTAATCTTGTCCTTAGAGAGGTTACAGTTAGTGCTAATGCACTAAATGCTCTCTCAACTGAGACCTGGGTGCAAGGAGCAGCAAGAATTATTTGAGATAATTTAAATAATTCTGCATCTTATTTTTTTTATTTTGCATTATATATAAAAAAAAAATTTTGTAATTTTAAGTTTAACTTTCTTGTTTTTTCCTTTTATTTTTTTTTTCACTTGTTTATTAATCAGGAATTAACAATGTTATATAAAATAAAAAAAATGAATAAAATAATTGTTTTATAATAAAACCCCCATTTATAAATTTGGGTGGGATACATTTATTTAATGTTTTTTTTATTTATATTTAAAAAATCAAATGTTAAATGAAGATATAAAAAATGCATTTTCTTTTCGTTTTTCCCATTGTCTCTCTCTCTCCCTCCTTTATTTATTTTTATTTAATGTTTTGCCTTATGAATTAAAGAAAATAAAATATCTCAAAAAAATGAAATTTGCTGGTGCCAGCGAGGCGGCACCTGATTGAAAAAAAGTAATGTTGTCATATCTGATAGCAGATTATAGAACTTTTTTCTTAATTGGTTCATTCAAAGGTCTCCCTGATTATTTTTTAGTAATTTTGCCCTCCGATACGATAACAATGCGTAACAATATTTATTTTAAATTTGATAATTTCATGACTTTATTCTCTTTAATAAGGTGCAAGATATACTATATTTTAAAAAA